AGTTTAATTTATAATAGTCGAAAAAATTTTGGTTTGTAAGATATACATTCTTTTACATAATTGTGAAGAATTTATTTTTATATGGCAAAATACAAAATTTGAGCAAAATCGGTCGAATAGTTCCTGAGAAATTGAGACTATTCGATCGATCATTCTACTCATATTTTATATTTCGCCATTTAAAATTCTGTGAAAAATTGTATAACTTATAATTCAAAATTTTTTCGATTATTATTTAAAAAAATTATAAATATGCACTAAAAGTTATATTTTCGTATGGAAATATCACTGGATAAACGAATTTTATAATTGTGTGCAAAAATTTCTCAATTCGCTTAAAAATTTCTCGAGATATGGCGAAATATATAAAAAGTAAAGTTAACATTAAGGGATCCAAACTTTGGACCATACTTTAGGGGTAAGAAATCCGAATGTGTCAAAAAAAAAGGTATGTTTATTCAGAAAAAGTATGTTTTTGTGTCTGATTTCGTAACTTAAAATATCGTCTGCACTAATAAATTAGTATATTTGAGGTCACCCCCTCGAACCAATAAGATTGAGTCCTAGAACGGGAAGATCCGATCATTTGATCAAAAGTTATTAAGGGTGGTCCGTTTTTTATTTTACGCACTGTATGTTTGATATTCAAGTTTAGGCGCCTAATATTTTAAACGTATGCACCTGTTTTAAAGATTGTTGATAAAACCCCTGCCAATTTAAAGTAACAAAAATAATATTAATCTGAAGAAAATAAAAGTCTTTTTTAAAAAAACTTCTTCTTTTATATCATTTCGTAGTTAAGTCTTAGATTCGAAATGCGAATTCAAACTGTCCAAGTTCTGGAGTCCCCACTCTTGGCATCATTGTAGGAAGCCAAGTGAGAGGTTTTCTTGAGTTGTTCATCGACTGTTTGTTACAAAGGGCACTTGGATCATTCTTCCACTCCAAAAACACTCAGTGACTGTCATTTCCATCCTTTATACACTGAGATCTTTGGAATTAAAAGACTAAACAAAATAAATGAATGTTGAATAGTTAACTAAAATAAGAGCTAATAGCAAAACAAAAAAAAAGTAAAGAAAAACACTTGTCATAATTACTCATAACAGGAATCTTTCTCGATTTACAAAATAAAATTCAAGAATTTCCTAAAACGAAAAGAAAAGTAATAATAATTTGAAACAGAAGGAGGAATATCTAAATTTAAAATTAAAGAACATAATTTAATTTCTAAAAAAGTATTTTCTTCCTTTTTTAAATTTTTTCTGATTCAATCAGAAATAGGGTTATAATATTCAATCGAAATTCATTAGCCTAGAAATTTTAATTAAATCCGCTGATTTCAATCATTTTCTTATAGTCTATTTCTCAAACTTCACAGCTCAAAAAATTCATTTGTTAGCTATTTTAAAAAGTGAAGAGCCTCCTGGATTTCCTGTTATATATTTGGGTTTGATCAGCAATACTACTCACTGGCCTCTTGAAAAACTCTGAAAGCAGGACACATGAAATATGGATAAATATAAAAATTTTTTCGTTATAAAATTTTGCAATAGGTAATTTTTTTTCTTTTATAAGGACTTCTACAATTATTCAAGATGTTACAATTTTTAAGTATTAAAAGTAAATTCATCTCAAAGTAATTTCCAAGGCCACGGGTACCTTGTAAAAGTGTTAGATAAATGACTCCAATTTAAATTACAAATTAACATCAACAGATGCATATTTATTAAAGAAAAAGTAGAATATTTAGGTCACTAAGAAGCTTTGAACAAATTTCTACATAAAATGTAATACAATTTCAATATGCTTCTAGACCTGAAGATGTTGGCGACTAAAAAAAAATGCAAGAATTTGTCTATATAAGACTAACTTTTTGAAAATGCATCCAGTTTTTCATATTCTACATATTAACTATTTAATAAACACATTATATTTAAATGGATTACTCACTGCAAAGTTAAAAAAAAAGTTTATCAGAAATAACAAGTGATCAAATGCTAATATCCCATTTCTTTTAATTGCTTTAACCTCAAGCACTAATCTTTAAGAATTATCTGGAATTCAATTTCATGTTGTACCTCGTCTGACAGTACTCACAGTTGCAAAATTAAATTAAGTCAATTTGACATATGAGGAAATGCAGTATATGGGTCATACAAAAAAAATTTATGACTGCATTTTTAAAAGAAACTTTACATTTGAAGTTAAAAGTTTCTGTATCAATGTTACTTAATACACATTTCTGTTAAACCTTCGGTTATTTGTCTGTTAACTGGAAATCACAAGACCATTAATATTTCTGAGACTATGTTCTTATAGTAGTCGACGTTAATTCTAAATCAATTGAAATTTTTAATTGAATTAACCTGATAATCTTGATATGGCAATGAGTATTATTTAAAAGAAGTTTTTAGTCATTTTGGTTTGACAAAAATTTTAGTTAGTGTCATGGTTTCAATGTTCTGATTGTTAAAAATTAAATAGTCAACAGAAATAATTATAAAAAATAGTTGAAGAATGGATTTATCTTTGGACAGACAAGTTCAGAGTGGCCACAAACACTTAGAAAAAAAATCTAATTTTCTCAGACTAATTTTATTGAGTTTCTTTTTTTTTAAATTGGTGGCATAAACATCATTATTAATTTTTTAGTTATACCTTGTATGTAATGTATAGTAATGTATTACAAAATATTTATACTTGCTAATAGAATTAGATAAATTTTAAAAAATTATCACACGAGCAATTTTCTGAAAAAAATCTAGGACTTAAATGTACCTCAAACTTTAATTTATTTATTTTCCAAGACAGATAAAATTCCCAGATTTTTTTTATATTTTCCCTGTTCTGTGGCCCTCTGAATTTTTCCAATAGTGTGCAAAAGTTTTTAATGTTTTTGAATAGCTTTAGAGGCAACCTGTGCAAATGGTTAAGTTAACCCAGATGAGGTTAAATTTTAAACTGATATCCCAACTAAACTATTAGACCATATTTTGAACATTGACACCCCTTTGTTTTGAGGGTCAAAAAATCTAAAAAAGTCACAGACTACATTTCTTCAGGGAAAGTATAATTTTAAATCACATTTGATACCTTAAATTATTATCTGCAATTGGTGTATTTTAGGTCTACCTAATAAACCGTTAAGGTTGCAAATAGCTGTGAAAATTTCATTCCTCAGATCAATAACTATTCAACTGTTTTGCACAGTACACTAAATGCTGAAACCGTATGCGGACCAGAAAAAGCATTCTTCTAAAATAATTCTCACCTAAAATAATTTTCTGAAAGCAAGAGGGAAAAATTTTATGGTGTAAGAGGGATTCTAAGTACGATGCAGCACCTAAGCTCCAATTTTGAATGCTGATATATCATCCAATCAAAGACTGTATGCCCTCCTAACTGAACAAAGCAAGACTAGGGAGAAAGAATGGGGCCCTTACAGATGCTTATATAATATGTGACAGTATTAAGAGAGTTAATATCCTCTTCCGATTTCTCTCATATATATATTTAAACAAATCTATCAAGAAAAAATTATAATTTAGATGTGTATAAATTTTTATAATAAAATTAGTTTAGATTATTCATAACATGTTTAAGATTAACTATTCAAATTAAAATATTATTAAGTTGTAATGCTGCTACAAACTTGATTCCTATAATACTAATAGCCTCTGTGGTAGCGAAATTTCTTTAGATGACAAAAAGAATTGATATCCCAACTATCTGAAGTGCAGGGCTTTGCAAATTAATTATAAAACAAAATAAATATACGGGAAAAGTACTTTTTGGCACAAGACAATGTTTCTGCTGAAGGAAAAGCCTAGTGCAAAAAAAAAAAAAAAAAATTGTCACTTCAGTTAGCTGAAGTATTTCGATGATAGGGGCAAGAATAATCAAAGTTCAACTGTCGTTATTTATCTTTGCATCTATTTATTAAAAAAATATCCTGAAAACAAATTAATTTAATTCAAAAGAAATTCGAGAAATTATCACAAATTAGATATCTCTGGTGGCAAGGCCTAAGGAACAAACAGTTTTGCAGTTTATTTCTTGTAATGGATTAAGAAAATATGACATTCTGCATTTAAAGCAAAAATAAGAATAGGTATAAATCATGCATGGGATTTTTAATATTAAATCCTTTAATAATATTCCCAGTCTGATAATTTTTTTTATTTTACAACTAATTTTTAATTAAAAAAAAGTAGTCCATAACTAATTAAAAACCACGAGTAACAAATAAAAACCTATACAATGCACACATTTGGTTACAAAAAATATTATGAATTTTCCCTATTACAGTATAGGATTTTTAAATTAAATCCTTATTTTCTTTCAAGAATAACAAACAACCTTGTCCAACATCAGAGAAGGATTAACCCCCAGTAGCAGATTTGTTTCATGTTCCACAACTGGACTTATAATAATTACAAATAGACAACTCTTACTATTCAAATTAATGATTTGTTTGAAAAATGATGAATAATTTAATTTTACCATATAAAATTTGTTATTTAAAAAAAGGATTCTTCATTAATTAAATTATGTATACAGAGTAAGAAAATTATAAACAGCATTTAAATTTTTTATCACAACTTAGACATAAATTGGTTAGCAGAGGCATGGATGGAAATTAGTCCTGTTCCAAAAATAAATTGTTCAGCAAGAGTTTCAATTGTTCTGAAACATACATAGCAATTTTGAAAACTTTCTGCTATAGGGGATTAATCATTCATAATAAAAAGTATCTAATTGTTTAATAATAGAAAAAAGCAAAGCTAATTCATCTATTGTTTTATTTAAGATACACAAACTGAGATAAAAATTTACAATGAATTTAAATAAAAAATAAATTAAAGGTCCAGAATTAAAAATGACTTATTTTAGTGATGCATATTATACAGCAGTAGAAAAAGTTTCTTCAGAAATATATACTTTACAAACATGCTTACAACACTAGTCCTGAATTCAATATAAAAGGAAGCACAAAGCCCAGTTTTTATTTATTTATTTTTTTGCATAAAATTTGCATAGAAGGAAATTCCTCCATTTCTAAACATGATCTATCATTGCTGCAAGGTTGCAGCAACAATTTTCTAATCCTCATCAACTTTATTATAAGTCTCGACAGTTCTAGATTTATTTTTTTCACTGTACACCTAAAAGCTGCTCTAAGGCAAATTCACAATTATTAGAATACAAAGCCACATTTGTAGCAGCTATACAAAATAAACAGAAATAAATACTTTACTTATTCTTTAAAATCCTCATTTCAGCCATCAATAAATGCAGCTTTTCTTTTTAAATTTAATATATCAACAAATAAACTGCTTTGAAAGGGTTGAAAAAAGTCTGTACACTGTACAACACTATCACTCTGACAACATCAAGAAAAGTTTTTCTTGGGTGCTGCATCAAGTAGTAGTGCTTTTAATCACTTGAATGTGCTGCAGATTGATAGTCCTGGATGTTGAATCATCAAATTTTTAATTACACTACTATTTGATGAAAGGCAATCTATGGAGTCTTCTACACACTAGTAACAGTAATTCATCACATTTATTCACCTATTTACACGAGGCATTCACATAATAAAGTTTTTACACATAATACATGGACTGATGATATTAATTCAATCAACCAATGAAATATTTAGTAGAAAATAAATATATTTTTAGGGACACAATTTCTTTTCTGTTGTCCAAAATTATACAATGACTGGGAGCTACAGATTTGCTTTCAATTTCATATATAAATAAATAAATAGTAGCATAAAGGTCTTTTGAATTACTTTCAGACAAATACTTTTGCTAATGCATCAGCTCCAGCACTAGCAATATATGGTTTGGAAGGGTGAAAAGCAACATCAAAAATAGCTTCATCAAATTTTTTCCTATGAGATGTAATTTCTTGCACACATGTTTTGTTGTCCATATTCCACAAACGAATTGAGCAGTCGTGACCTAAAAAATAATATTTACAGTAAGCATTTTGATTAAATTGTAATAATAATTAACACCATGAAAACTAAAAATATATTCTCAAAAATAAATTGTAAGTATTATTGACAAAAATTAAAGCATTGGTTTCCATATTGCTCCCATGATCATGGTGTAATAAATACATTAACAGAAAATATTATTTGACTAACAGACATTTATCCAACCACCATTAAAATTATTTGAATGGCATTCAATTTACTATAAAATCTAATAAACAAAAATTAAGTTGCACTTAGCTTCATGGTGTCAGAATATATATCTCTAATTCTATTCACAAAAATTATTTAGATCTTACAAGTATTTAAAAGATTGAAAAAGTATTAATAGAATTATGTGATAACAAAATTTCAATTAATTCTTTGAAAAATTTCAATAAAAATGACACATAAATGGAAAATATCAATTGCTTAATATATATTAAAGGAAGGAGTTATTCATTTTTTAAATATATTACTGATAAACGTAACATGACTGATTTTCTTACATTTCTTACAGATAGAAAGGATGGGCACATGATTGTAACAATATAACATTATTTTCAAAATTCTAAAGGATACTAATTTACCAACGCAAAGCTGGCAACATTAGAAAATCAAAAATAGGCATTTCTATTTATGACATAAAATGGTCATTGAGCAGTAACTAGGGACTTTTCCTTCTTATTGCAAATTAAACTAAAATAATAGAAAATTTCAGTACTAAATTTAAAATTCTAACTGCACTGAAATTTTATTAATAGTTTAAATTTTATTATAGTTCATACATTTAATATATACACATAAAAAAAATGTCAAGCTAGAAGAACCAACTTTTCACTTATCTTGATAAAGCATTTAAAATCTGTTGCTTCAAAATTGTATCTATAGGCTCGATTGAATAAAAATTAAGTAAAATTGGAATAAACATTTTTGCTTATTAAAATATGTCACTACAGTGTGGTATATTTTATAGTTCAAATTGTTTCTTTCTGTAGCAACTGAATAAGACTGATTTTAATACGCTGCTCACTAGATTTGAGTATAATTTTATTAGTTTTTAAGTCATCTTAGAACCAGATATTTTAATAGCAGATGCACCTATTAGTTTTTCAGCTAGTTCCCTATGAATGAGAATAGCAACTATGCTTGTGAATGTCTAATAAAAATTTTAATTGTAAAAACTGTAATATTTTTTGATATTTCGGAAAAATTTCAAAAGTTTGGAAGAAGTGAATATTTTACAGGATTTTGGAAGATTTCTTCTATTCTATTCTATTCTTCAATTCTGGGAGAGTCTCCTGATTTTTTCGGGAGAGTTTGCAGCCATGACAATTATACAAAGAAATTTATAGCATAATATCAACTGTTTTCTCATCAACCATTGGCGACATGAGTCGTCGAAAGTCACATGTACGAATATGATCGTAAACATGCAAATTTTAATGTTTTTAAGTTAAAATAAACATTTTATAAAATGGAATATCAGTTCCTTAGATATGGTTAAAATTTCAAAAAATAATATTAAAAATTAAAAAATATCTTTTACAGTTAAGCCCAATCACTGACTTGTCTAATGATGTAACACTGTGCTGCACATGAAATTTATCAACAAATATGTGGGCAGAAAATGGTAGAATATAGCATACAAGGATACTCTAATTGCTAAGATTTATTTACATTATTGATGTAGGAAATAATAAAGCCAAGAAAATAAACACCTCATGTAGATAATACTTACTTCCAGATAATAAGTATAAACCATTAGGATCTATTGCAAGGCTAGTAACAGCATCCAAATGTGCTACCATTGAATGTACCATTTTGCCTGCAAAATAAATAACATACTGTAATAGATGCCTCTTCATAAATGCCATAAAATGAAAACAAAACTTATTAGAGAACCATTTCTCCGGTATCCAGATAACCGGGAAACCAGAAAACCGGGGAAAATTTTGCTTGAATTTCCCGCCATTTTAAACTAGAACGAAAAAAGCAGAAATTGGACTCATCCTTGAAGCTGAGTAGAGGAAAATGTAAGGAAGGGGAAAATTTTTTTTCCCCGTTTACTCAGAGAAACGTCATTTCCTCTGTGACCTTGAAGGCAGGGAAGGGAGGAATGTTTTATTTTTTCCTTTAGGCCGTCAATCAAACTCAAGGGTGTGGCATGCTGATTTCGTTTTCTGCTTGATTTACGAGGGGGGTGGGGAAAATGCATTGCATGCATATCAGTGAACAGAAAAAGAAAAGAGAAAAATATATTTATTTGACATCGACTAATAAAAATAAAATCTTTTTCTTTTGAATAAATTCTCATTCTTTGGAAGAGCGGTATCAATTGCAAGTTTTTCTTGGTGTGGAATCACATCTGCTGTAATTAAAAATCTTGTTTTTATCAACAAAAAAAATAAAATAAAAGGAGAATTGTTTATTAATTTAAACATAGGATTATTTTATGAAGCAGATTACAGTTTTGTTTTTCTGATTCCACTACGTTTGATTTTTTTTCTTTTCGCGATAAATTTCGCACTCAATAAATTAATTCTTTTTATTCATAAATTTTATCATTAGGTTTTTTTTTTTTT